CGTTTGAAGGCCATATTCGTGCCAAAGGTGACCAGTTCGAACTAATCTAAACTTATTCTAAAATTTGATGCTATTTCCGACATTTTTTGCTTTCATTCAATTTTGATTTACAAAAATCAAAATTATGGCGTTTGACATTGTTGCAGTTTTTTTTTTTATCTCACCCTGTTTATACTTTATGGGGTCTATGAAGAATATTTAGAGGTGTTACAAACGGAATTCCAAATTTATTATGACCTCGTTTTAAGGTGGAGGGAATAAAATCACCCTTTTGAACTTTAAAAATTTTTGTAAGAGGAGGTTTCTTGCCTATTTACAATCGGAAATTCTACATTGTAGCCCATTTGGTTAGGTCTCATTGATGGGGCTCTTTGACAAAACAAAATGAAAGTCATTGCTTGCACTTGCTTGTAATGGATCGTATTCGGCGGCGTCCAGGGAAGATTCCCACAGTAATACTAATCAACACAATTCTCTTCAATAGCGCAAATAGCCGTTCTGATCTACGATAGATGTTCTGACCTACGTCTTACTAAGTCCCACAAACATGAAGTTTGTGCAATTTGTGACTTGTACTCTTTTGATATTGAGCAAGATTGTAGGTCTTTCTGAATATAATTGCCTTAAATAAAATCTGCATTAACAATCTTAAGAAATTTTAAGCAAATCACCAACAGTCTGTGGAGGAAACAAAGGACATATGGATAATTACAGTTTCATCGGGTATTGGCGGCAGGAACATTTACAAATATTTTATCCTATAGCAATGATTTTTGCAATTATCTTCGTTAATTATGAAATTTAATTACACAGAAATTATAATTACCTAACAGCTTTACATTTAGCTTCCTTTGTTTCAGAATACGCAGGAATGTAATAATTTGCTACGATAACCGATTTTCCTTTATAAAATCGAAAAAATGCTGATTATTCTGTATTTGTAAAAATTCTACAAAAATCATAACCTCTTGGCTGGCGTTGGCATTTTTCCAGTAAAGAGTAATATTTCTTCTGGCACCAAAGCTATTTACCACAAATAATAAAACTTATTTGGGTTTAAAACAGACATGAACACACAAGACTTCAAAATATATTTAAAATCTGGTATGAATCTCTACAACATGAAAGGTCCTATATTTCCGTCGCATCATTTTGGGAATGAAGTATAAAGTTTTGTACCAAGTATCTACAACATAACTAACTTTTCTTTTTGTTGCTCTAACAAATTTACAGATTTGTTTTTATACCCTCTACCATACATAGTATGGAGGGTGTATTAAGTTCGTCATTCCGTTTGTAACTCATCAAAGTAACTCATAAGTATATATATTCTTGATCAGCGTAAAATTCTAAGACGATTTAGATTTAGCTGTCCGTCCGTCTGTTGTAATCACGCTACAGTCTAAACGAATTAAGATAGGAAGCTAAAATTTTGCACAGATATCTTTTTTTGTCTGCAGGCAGGTCAAGTTCGAAGATGGGCTATATCGGTCTACGATATCGTATAGCCTCCATATAACGGTACCCCCTATATTCGGTATTTTAATGATGTTAGCCACATTTTTCAATATAATGGTCCTAAGGGGTTCGGTATTTTGATGATTTTATCCATTTTTTTCAATGGAATTATCTGAAAATCCACACAAGGAGTTCCTTGTGAGTACTTTACACCCAGACATAGATTTGTCTTTATAGGTCCACAAATCCGTATATCCCCCCATATATCGGCACCTTCCTATATTAGATATTTAAAGATTTTAATAGAATTTTTTATGGATTTTATTTTTTTGAAAATTTTCTAATTCGTTCCAAATTGTGGAGGATATTCAAAGTTCGGCCCGGCCAAACTTACTATTTTTTTACATGTTTAACTTATATATTTTTCACAAACTGAATTCTTACAAAATAATCAAACGTCATTCATTTCCTTCTTCATAAATTTTCATAAAAGAAGCCGAAAAAATGTCCTCAAGTTTAATTTAATTTTTCATTTATATGAATTTACATAAAAAGTCATACAAATGTTGAAATACGAAAATCAAAAATACTCACCGAAGCTGTATAAGAAAAACGTTTCCTGTTTTTTGCTTTTTCATATGAATATTACTTGGCATAAAATTTAAAAAGAAAAATAATATTTGGAATATAACACAACCTAATCGTACATATAATTATTAAGTGAATGCACAAATATAGTTTAGTTGTTTAATATTGCTAAACACTTGTGTAAATAAAAAATTACCTTAACTACATTTCTAATTATCCAAATATAATTAGCCGTAATAATTGCCAGAGGACTTCGTTTTATATGCAGGTGGACCAGTATGAAGGCAATGTACAGTGTTTCGAAGACACAGAGATAAATTGTTGCCTTCTGTAAGATATCGAAGAAATTATGGAATGTGAAGACCTCCTGGTCTTCTATGAGAGGATCTCATATGATGGGATGTGAATGACAAGACTTATTGAACTTCTATCAGAGGATCTCTTGGTCTTCTATGAGAAAACCTTATGGTATTCTATGACTGAACCTTCTGGTCTTCTATGACAAGGTCTATGAAATGACTTTTGTGTCTTCTATGGGAAGATGTTAAGGTCTTCTATGAGAAAACCTTCGGGTCTTCTATGGGAAGACGTTAAGGTCTTTTATGAGAAAACCTTCGGATCTTCTATGAGAAAACCTTTGCTTCTTCTATGAAAAGACCTTTAGGTCTTCTATGAGAAAAACTTCAGGTCTTCTATGAGAAATCCTTCGGCTCTTATTTGAGAAGATATTATGGTCTTCTATGAGAGGAACTTTTGGTGTTCTATGAGAAGCTCTTCCGTGAGAAGACCTCTTGGTCTTTTATGAGAAGACCTATTGGTCTTCTATGAGAAGACTTTCGGGTCTTCTGCGGGAAGATATTCGAGTCGTCTATGAGAACACCTTCGGGTCTACTTTGAGAAGACCCTTTGGTCTTTTTTGAAGACCTTCTGATTTTTTTCGAAGACCTTATGATCACCTTATGTGAAAAGACCTTCAGGTGTTCTATGAGACTTCCTATGTGTAATCTATAAGAAGACTTTCAGGAAAAATTTTAGGGTCTTTATAGAGAAGACCTTAAATTGTTGGGGCTTCTTACGTGAAGATATTCGGACCATCTCCGAGTAAATTTTTGGGTTTTTTATGAGAATACCTCCTGGTCTGCTATGAGAAGGTCTTGTCACATTTTAATATGGGACGTATATTAATGAGGTTGTCATTTGGTAGTTCAAAATCTTAGCTAAAATTTCCAGCTGAAATTATGTTGGTTCGGATATGGGATTAAAGAACATTTGCCCCTTCATAGTTTCAATATCAATAAGCTGTTTATATAAGTTTCATACTAGTATACAGGGTGACATAAAGAAACTGCAACAAGGTCAAACACCATAATTATTTTTTTTTTTTTGTTTTTGTATTTTATTCCAACGGCAAATAAAACCGTCACACGCTGCCCGAATATTGTTCTGCGGTATTTTGGACCATTCCCGGAGAAGCGTTTGCTTGAGGTGATCGACACTTTGGTATTTTTTAGTGCCAACCTTGCTTTCCGAAATACTCCAGACACAATAGTCCATCGAATTGGTATACGGAGATTTTGGTGGCCATTGTGCGCTGGAAATGAAGCGAGGTGTTGCTGAGTTCTGTTGGAATGTCCAAGGTCTGCGGAAAAAATGCCAATGCTTTCATACACCCTCCGGAATATTTTCGGGATAATATTCGGCATTTATTCTGATGCCACGGTCGATTAATACGAGCGGAAAGCGACTATCGGATGTTATGGCGACCTACACCATCACCATGGCCGGTGCTTGAGTTCTGGTGGCCAACCGAAGGTGCACATTTTCAGTTGACCTCTTTGGCAAGTAAACACGATCATTTCGTTTGTTGACAAACTACTGAACTCATTAGAGAAAACTAAATTCGGCATTTCACCACTTTCAGCAAAGCGAAGCAACTCTTTAGCTCTTTTCAGTATCAAAGTAACGACTACGAGATACAAAAGATTTATTCACATTTAAATGCTGGAGAGCTCTAACGATAGCCACTTGTTGTTTTCCAGCCAAATATAAAGGAGTCACACTATCACGTTGAATTACATCACGAATACGAATGCCAAATTCTCACCAAAATGCTTTTGTACGTTTGTAAACAATATAATGAGCTGTCACTGGAATAATTTTAATAGCTGTCGGAAGAGTGGAGTAGAAATGACACCAGCCCGAAGTTGGTTGCAGTTTTTTCATCTCACCATTCATTGTCCTAGTCATAGCCAGCTGAAATATCTTTAATCTAACAGGTATTTACAACATATCCGCGCCAATATCTTAATATATAGAAAACCCAATTACACTAGAGCCCCGACTTGCGTCGTTAATGGGGACCGACGAATCGCGACGCAACCCAAAACGACGCAAATCGAATCACCTTTTTCAATACATATACAAAATGCACTGAAATTTAATTTACTGGGAAAAATATTCAAAACAAAACAAATAGTTTTCGACGGTGTGTAGAATTCCGTTAGGGTCGATGTTACCTATCCTACAAAATCCTTGGCCATTTTTTCGCAGCCATGGCCTACATTGTAATCCAATTTCAATTTATTTTTAAAAATTGTTTCCAATAATTTGAATTTGTATATATTATGCTTCAATAAATATTTTCTACTTCGCTTTATTCAAAAGTGTTCATTCTCTCCTTCAATTTCTATTCGTCAAACAAACGAATGAAAAAAAAGCAAATTAGATTTCTTTAACACATTTGTTTCAAACAATTGTCCTTGACATTGTCAGTGTAGCTTAAGGAGAAAAAAGATTGATATGTAGTTGTAGCTTAGTCCTTGACACCTGGTGGCCAGCTACGTTGGTTTGCTGGAGTTGTGCTGGACTGAAGCCAAATTAAATAAGCATCAAATAATAAAAAAACGAGTGACACCAAAAAAAAAAGTGACAATTTAATACAACTAAAAACTCACCTTACAATGCATCAAATGAGTCCTTATATATGGTTGTTGTTTAAAATGCAATATGTTAATGCAGTTGGGATTTTCATACAATTTATTTATTTTTTTTTTTTTTTGCTGTAATTTTTTTGGCGCTTCACATAAAAATGTAACTTTACAACATGTGGCTTATCATTCTTTTTTTTTTTCTCCTTTCAATTACAATTTAAATTATGTTGCGAACTATCGAACTGTAAAATGAAGTCATTTCCTCCAATGAGTTACACAATTTCAATTTCAGTAGTAGCTTATATTTGCGGTATTAACACTGCAAACTGGTTGTTGGCAGCAATTATATTTCTGTAATGCCCACAACAAATTGAATTATTTAAATGGCTGCAAAAGTTGTAATAAAAAACCGCAATGCACAGCACACACACGACCGACGAGACAAATATGCAAATGTTTTTTTTTTTTTTAATTATTTCTCTTTTTTTTTTCCACAACTTTAAATTGTTATTGGGCACACAAAATTAATTCACTTATTTTCCAGACATTATTCAAATTCTGGATTTTTTATAGGATCAACTTTTATTGGCCATAAAAAATCGTTAGGATTAAATTTGAATTTGTTAGATTTTTTGTTTGTTTTGTTCTTCACTTTAAACACCAGTGGTTGCTGTTGCACACACACCAAAGTTGTTGTAACATATTGAAAACCAAAAAAAGAAAATTTAACTTCACTACCGCTAGCCAAATTGTTGTTCGTCACAACAAGCCAATGGTCAAACACGAACTAACCAAATTTCAACATGTGATTGTGTTTTTAAAAAGAACAACATGGTCGAACAAGTAGCATTGCTTGCAAGTACGAATCCTTATAAAAGCTTTTCTAATGTCCTTACACTGTGGCACACAAGCAACGACAGAGAGAGAGAAAGCTTTTCAAGGTTAATGGCAACAGTCTCTCTCTCTCGCTTTCATTCTCCCATTTTCGAACATCAACCCATGTTGCCTTGAGATTGAACCTGAACACACACATGCACTCACACACACACATACACAATACCATCAACATGTAGAAAAAATCCAACTGTTGCAACATGTTAAGCCATTTGGCCCTGTCTGCTTTACGCTTAAGGCCACAACAAACAAATCCACAAATACAGACAACGTGCTCGGATGCTGTTGCTCTACTTATTACGGCTACCAATTCCATTGTTGACTTTGAAAATTTGTGTGTTCTTGCTCTACATTTTTTGCCTTGTTGTATTGTCCTACATATCCTGTTTGGATGTACGCGTTCCCAATAACAAACGCATGAGGACAGGTGTGAGCTACGCAATCGTAACCATTAAAATAATTACTTTGGAAATATATCGGTACAGAGATGATACAATCGCAAATGTATCGCATAGAAGGACGTTCGAAGCATTGTTTATTTATTTTTAAGCTATAAATTATGAAATTGGATTTTTTTTTTGCTGTGGGGAGAACTTATTATAAATATTTGTCCTAGTCCTCTAAACATGAATTTTCAGCAAAATTCCGTTAAAATGTGTCTAAGTAAGATGTAGGACCATATACGTACCTCTATAGACAGTTTTATGAACCCTTTGTTGCCTTTCTGTAAACTGGGGACACAAACTGTCTTATTACGTTGTAATTATTTTAAATCGGTGGTACTTTTATGGGGGCTATAACAAATAGTTAAGCTACAAGATGTATTTTCAATAACAAATCTCTAAGGACCTAAAATAGGTTGGAGCACAAATATTTCAACTACCTCCTTCTCGGAAAATACCATTGCTGTAACTTGGGAACACTATATCTTAAAATTGGATGAAACATCAAATGTAATATAGGTATAAAATATACATATGTTGACATTTTTCTGCGGGATGGTTGTTGAGGTAATTTTATATGGGTGCTACTCCAAAACCTTGACCTTCATTGAAAGTTTTTGCAAAGGGATTTTCTACCCCCTTAGAAACCAAGATGCTATGGCCTATATTTACAATTTTTTACAGTATTGATCGCAGGATCTACTAAGAACTCAAATTACCATAATGTGGCGAAATCAGTATGAACAAGCCAATGTCGAACCGTTGACCCTCTATAAAGTCGGGTCGAAGACATGGGCCATTTTTTATTGAACCTAAATAAGTATATTATAAATATTGTGACGTGGCAGGTTACGACTACACCGACACATCCTTCACTAGATATGAGATATTTTTAGAACTATTAGAAAATGCTGAAATGTGCGTGAGATAACAGTTATGTTGGCCCGTGTATTTCATTTTAATACTTCACCTAATACAGGGTGCGATAAAAAAACTGCAACAAAGTCAAACGCCATAATTTTAATTTTTTTTTCATTTTATTGAATAAAAGCGAAAAATATCGGAAATAGCATCAAACTTCAGAATAAGTTCAGATTTGTTCGAATTGGTCACCTTTGGCACGAATTATGGCCTTCAAACGGCCAATAAAACCATCACACGCTGCCCGAATGTTGCACTGCGGTATTTTGGCCATTCCTGGCGAAGCGCTGGCTTGAGTTGTTCGACATTTTGGTATTTTTTAGTGCCAACCTTGCTTTCCAAAATATCCGGAGAATTAGGTGGCCATTGTGCGCTGGAAATTAACCATTCTTGGGTGGCGCGTGCTGAGTGCGATGGTGCTGAGTCCTGCTGAAATGTTCAAGGTCTGCGGCCAAAATATTTGCGTGCCCAAGGCTTTAATACACCCTCCAGAATATCTTCGCTATAATATTCGGCATTTATTCTGATGCCACGGTCGATTAATACGAACAGTGAGCGACCATATCGGCTGTTATGGCAGCCCACACCATCACCATGGACGGCGCTGGTGTTCTGGTGGCCAACCGAAGGTACACATTTTGAGCTGACCTCTTTGGCAAATAAACACGATAATTTTGTTTGTTTACAAACTGCTAGACAGCGAATGTTTTCTCATTCACCAAAAAACCAAATTCGGAGATTCGCCACATTAGGCTAAACGAAGCAACTCTTTAGCTCCTTTGAGTCTATTTTGTTTCCGCTGCGGTATAAATTTTTGCACTTTTTGGAGTTTCAATGGCATTACCGCGAGCTTATTTTTCAATATTTTCCGAATGGAATATTGCCATATGTTCAGCTCACGAGCCATTTTTTCCGCCACTGCGACGCGGGTTTCGATCAAGTCGCTTATTTACTTTTTTTCTTCTGCCCAATTCCTTGACGCCGGGCTACGGTACCAGTATCATGGTCGAGCGATCGTATGAGACACAAAAGATTTATTCACATTTAAATGCAGGAGTGCTCTAACGATAGCCATTTGTGATTTTCCAGCCAAATATAAAGAAATCACGCTTGAATTCCATCACGAATAACTTTGTTTCTGGAAAATTCTCACCAAAATGCTTTTGTACGCTTGTAAACAATATAATGAGCTGTCATTGGAATAATTTTAACAGCTGTCGGACGTGTGGCTGCAGTTTGAAGTTGGTAGCAATTTTTTTATATTACATTGTACGTACATGGGAACTATACCCAAGCCTCAACCGATTTTAATATAGTTTGGCAAATTTTTTTTTGGTACCAAAGTTCGTCTCTCTGTCCGAATTTCATTGGAATCGGACATACATGTCGTATTGGGTGCATCAATTATGTAAAATCTGTCGAAAATATATTTGGGGCTATGTCCAAATCTGATTTCCAATTTTAATTGAAATTAGAGATACACGTTGTGTTTGGTGCATCAAATACATGAAATCGGCCGAAAATGTAAATGGGAGCTATACCCAAATCTGAACCGATTTCAATATAATTTGGCAAAATTTATTTTTGTTCCAAATTCCGTTACACATTTCAAATTTGTGAGACTGTATCTGTAATCGATATGTGCTATAAAATCTATATTTTTGGGAGGTTCTTCCGATTGTGATGCTATATCTCCAATTCCAAGTGGAATTTCAAAAATGTATATTACCTATGTTACTTTTAGGCGATTTTGTAGTATGTATGGAAATTTTCAGGAAAATCTGTGCAGCGGTTTTAGAGTCCATAAATTACAAACATACAAAAATGTTTCTCTCTTTTAGATATAGATTTAGACTTTTGATGTCTTATGGAAATTTTATGGCAAATGGAATATTTTGAATTGCTACATATTTTAAAATTAGGATTAAAAAGACACCTTTGGTTACGCGCTTGAGAGTTTAAGTTTTGTTCAAAATAATTATCATGTTTTATGTGTAATATATTAGAGGAGTACAACCATTTGATGAATGGATTCCAAGGACTCCTAATTCGAAAATTTCAGAACATGTTAAAGATACGGGAACATACTCTCCTAGAGTTTGGGACTTAAATATCTTAGAAGCCAACACATCATCGTTTCTTTACGGTGCTATCTGTGACCTGTAAATAAGATTTTTGTTCACAGAGTAACGTAGTCCATACTTTTTGCCTTATATTAAATTTGATTCTGTGTGAAAGTTAATATACTATTTCCACACTAGACTTATGTATGATATAAATATTGCAATATATTAAGTTTTTAGCAATTGGTTGAATTTTTAATGAGGGATATCGTGGGTCTGCTCATCTTCGAACTCGAGCTAAGTTTGATGGAAACATTAATGTCTCTTCAAGAACCACAATCCAATTAGACAAACAAAAGGATTGGCTAGATCGACTTGATCCTGTGACCGATTTGATAAAACAAAAAAAAAAAAAACAGGAATAAGACCCTACATATATAAATCCATATCCTTATAATATTTTAAAATCCATTTGGTGACATTAAAAGATAATTACCTCATAGCTTGAAAATATGATCACTTGTGAAATTTTTTTGCCACAGAATTCCATTTTATTATCCGAGTTACATTTTATTGTCCAACTTTTAACTATGTTTTATGAAGAAAGTGGAAGAATAGTTTGAGTTGGTATGTTATGCGTAATAATTCTCTGGTGTAATACTGTATTCCATTTGATTACCGAGCATCTGGTGTATGCGTATTTATTCCTTAAGGCATTTATGTGTGTATCCGTTTGACATGTACATGTAATTCACATAAAAGAACATATCCATGCCAGCCATGAAAGTTAATTTTAACGATTTCTTTACAGGTTCTTCAGTGTGGCCTACTTCAACTGCTGCTGCTGTAACGAACGCAACACAATGAACATTACACAAACAGAAGATGGGAAAAGGAGAAACAAAAATAGAAGAGGCGGAAGATGTTGGGCGAAGTAACAAGTTTACACATCAAACATCAAAAACATTACCGCTGGTTTACGCACACACACACACATTTGAATATATGTATGTTAATCCTATACGTATACAGTTGCTAAAATCTCATAAAATATTAATAAATTTGTGCTAACTGGGCCAATGTGGCGGATTAGCAACATTTTGTTTTATGTACTTTGTTTTCTTTTGCCAGGAAGGTCAAAGAAAGCTTCTTCTGCCAAGCTGATTATGTATATGAGAAAAGTTGTCCTTAATCTGTTTTCTTAAGAATTAATTTCGTTCATTTAAATGATCTTTAGAATAATTTTAAAAAGTTATATTACATTTGCATTTTACGTATCCACAATGAGATTAGTCTTAAAAAGCTGTTACATATATGTATGTATCTAATTGGAATTATTCATATTGGGAGTGGGCATTAATGATCATAATGTGAGGGATAATAAGGTAATTAAGCAGTAGTTTGATTGGTAAATATCACACAACTCGGAAAAATGATATTTT